ATCTGATTTGATAATTTTGCCCATAAAAATAATCACATGCATAGCACGTGATAGATTCTTATAAAAAACTAGTCGAAAACTTAAAAGAAAATAATACATTATCATTAATTTGTACCATACTTTATCTTGTTAAATTTGCTAACAATGTTAATGATTGAAACCATACAAATCAATGATAATATGTTGAAAATGATCAAAAAGAACTAAGCAAATCGTAGCTAGAACAAAATTATACATTATCATTAATTTACACTGCTTTTATCTTGTTAATTTTGGCAACTTTGTCATTTAGTGGATTTAAATTGGACAGATTTGAGAGCTTAGCATACAAAAAAAATGTATAAAATTAAGATTTTATGGTGCAAAGTATCCAAATTGAGAGTTTATGGTGTAAAATGAGTAAGTTTGGAGGCGCAAAATGGAGTTAGTCCAAATGTTAATGCTAGAAATGAGAGAAAGACTTTGCACTTTGAAAAAATAAGGAACTTCCTAATAAGAAATGTTTACAGCTATAACTCTTTTGTGTACACACATCAATCGAAACTGGCTATGAACTTACATATTTATTAATCTTATCAATAAGCCAGCATACATATTTTTGGTGCTTTCTATAACCACTTTTATGCTTCTTCAGATGTTCGATCCATGATTTAGAGTTCATTGTTACATTAGCAAGTGCATTAAGAACAACGGGGGTTCTTTAGATGGAAAAAGGCAAAGTCTAACAAGGATTTATAAGCACAGAGACGAGGATCTGCTTGCTATTTGAATCTTGTGCCAAGTTCTTTCTGGATATCCATAACCAAGTTTTGATTAATGCCCAAATTCTTTTGTTATAATTTTATCTCATTATGTATTCCTTTTATCTTTGCATCTTGATCTTAGATTTTTTTTTTTTAGCTAATCCAAATTTCAGTTTCTCTATTAGCTAAAAAGGTAAAATTTAGAATCTAACTGAAGTAGCTTTAAGTAATTTAAATTTTTCTCCGGAGTCACTTTCCATAATCAGTTTGCAAAATATACAACAAACCAGAACTGGTAGTGAGTAGCTCTAAGTTCGCCTTGCTTTCAAGAATAAGAATTTGTGGGAGTATTTCAGATAATATTGAAATGGGCTATAGTATAGCAAGAAGAATTATCCTGCCATCTATGTTGAAGTGTACGATGTAATTATATCTTTTCAAGTGACAACTCTGTCTACTAAGATCATTCATGGCCCCGTGAGAATTGACTTGAATACCCCTTGTGTCGACAAAAAAAAAAAAAAAAAAAACAATTCTGTCGACTAAGACCATTCATGTTGCCATGCATGATACACCATGACGTATCATGCATGAGCCAAATTTTAATTTGAGAAACATATGGACGCTTTTTCCCAGCGGGGAACACGGCAAGTTTCTCCCTCCCAAAGCACAGTCGTCGCTTCAGTTATGGATAACTGTTATCCGACGATAAGTTGCTTTCAATTGTTCCTTTGTTGTTAAGGGATAAATGCTCTCAAAAACCCTGATCCAAATTCAATGATTAAACAAGTTTTTGTCTTGAGATGCACTACGATATCATCCACAAACAAAATTATTTTTGTATTTCTTTTTCAGTAAATATTGCCTCATTGCTTCCCAGGAAAAGTCTTTTCACTGCGTCACAAGTGCACATTGTCATTGTAGAGCTGTAAAAGCTTACCCAATTCATAGATTTCAGGGAAATAAATGTTCTTTGCAAAAATTTCATATTGACTGATAATCTTACCTTTCACTTTCTCTATAATGTTAGTGCTACAAACGAGAGAAAGACTTCTACACTTCGTAAAAAAATAAGGAACTTCCTAATTGAAAAATATGTTTACAGCTATAATATAATTCTTTTGTGTGCATGTATCTATCGAAACTGGATATGAACTTTCATATTTACCAATAAGCTAGTGTACATAGGTTCATCATGTGAATTTGAGTTCATTTTTACGTGACCAAGTACATTAAGAACAAGAAGGTTCAGGCTCTCAACAAGATGGAAAAAGGCATATTTCTAAAGAGGATCCATTAATCAGCTCAGCCACTCAGGGATAAGGATCTAATTAATGCTTGATGATTCTTGTGCCAAGTTCTTTCTAAGTATCCACAACGAAGTGTTCATTTACGCCCAGATTCTTTTACTGCTTCTTCCGTCTCACTTTGACAGTCTTGTTTTTCTTTTTCGTCTGTCCCAAATTATAGTCCACTTTCTAATTGAAAAATGTAGTTATCTTTTAATTTCGCTAAAATACCTTATTCAACGTGGGTTGTTATTAGTATAAACTACCTTGTTTGATATAGTTATTGTTAACCTATCACATATAATACATTTAGATTTTTCAAAACATATTGATATATGAAAAACCAGCTTTGTTATTCTTTCAAGCCAAAATGTGAAATAATGTAAAATGAGCATTGATTCTTTCTTGATCATCAATTCAAGTTTCCATGAATAATTAATATAAAGTTGTACTTTATTTAATATAACGGTATTTTAGGAAAATAGCAATCTAAATTTATTGTTCCAACAAAGTTAACTATTTTTTCTTAAACTATGTGAAAAAAAAAAACTAGTACTATCAAAGTTAATAACTTCAAAGTTTAACCCCTCCTCTTTTTCCCAATTTTTTTTCACTTAGGGATATCCCAACTTTTGGACCAGACTAATCTCCTAAAATTATGTAGAATCTTACTTCAAGAATACACAATGAAATAACACACGGTAATCCATCACGATACTTGCTAGTAATTACCTGTCTACAGAACTATTCGAACTAGCGGCAGGAGGCTTCTTTTCCCCATTTAAAGCTAGACAAATAAACTAAGCTTCAACCTTTTAGGAGAAACATAGTTACAAAACACTTGACTCCTAACCAGAACGTAATTGATCAAATCGAATTTAATGCAATTACTAATTCATAAGTAGATTTGGACTAATTTCTTGGTGGAAAGTTGTTTCAACTTTGGTCCAGTCCATGGTACAAAAATTCGTGGCCTACGTGCAGTCAAAACAAGGGGAGTTGGTGCCGCGGTGGGGTTTCATGTTTTTCTTTTTTTCTTTCAGACGCGAGGGTTTCATGTTCATCATGCTGAAAAACAGTAGGCACGAGGAAACTTTATAGAATTTGCATTGCATTGCATTGCTGGAGCAGCAGTTGCAGTGTTATTAGTCTAATTACAGGACCAAAGATTAGACCATTGCAGTCCCCACGCCCCACTCTCCACGAATCAAGATGAACGGTCCCAGTGGCTCCACGTTTGGTTTGATTTGATTTTTCCTGACTGCTTTTTGGGGTTAAATTAGTAATAATAATAATTTGACCAGAGGCACCAAGGATTTAATTCCACGCCGAACTAACCAGAAGTGGATCTGAAGTCTAAACTTAGTCGTTGTAAATTGTAATAGACCGAAGTTTTCATTCAAGTCTGATCACTTTTATTGCTTCCAAATGAAGGGAAATTTCCTCAATGTAGAATCTTGTGTTTTATTAAATCTTTTTAGTTTTCTAATTAAATCATTGTATATGTTGACCCACTTCCAGACTTTCAGTCGTCGTGCACTGAGAGTAGGCATCAAAAGTCTTCAGGAATCATCGAGGCGGAGCTGCATCTATAGGAGCGTGAATTCCCAGTCTTCATCTATTGAACTTATAAAACTACCTATTTACACCTATAATTTACATAATTAGACTTGCATGTTGATTTGAAGAAGAAGGGCCCTAACTATTATTATTATGGGTGACACACTCTTGGAGGCTCGAAATTCGAATCTGTGATGAAAAAATTAGGGGTGAGTATCAAAATCGAATTAGATACTATAAATTCGATAACTTTTACTCATAAGATATCTTAACCTATTTCGATTTCGCAATGAATATATACTGTTTTGATTTCGAATTAAATTGAAATCAAAATTGGGTAATGCCAAATTCAACAAAAAAAAAAAATATACATGCATAATGCATATAATATTGTATATCATATTACATGTGATGTAAAATTGTATAAGGTTATATTACTTACTATTACTGTGTATTATGTAATGTTATCTAAATGTTTATATTTAACATTATATATTTTCTTTATTTATTTATTAAATTTCAAATATGTAACTTTCAAATTTAAAAACCAAATGCCATTACTATACCTTATTCAAAATTTTTGAACTCCCACCCATTTCTTAAATTACTAATTAATTTGAAAATTCCAAATTCATTTCAAAATCGATCAGTAATTCTGTAAAAATCAAATATGTTCACCACTATGGGAAATAGCTGTAGGTTAGATTTATTTTTACTTCTTCATGTATTTATTTTTTAATCAAGTTTATTAACTATTAAAGAAAACATGACTTAAGTTGTCTTAGTAAAAAGTCATTCAGGTACTACTTTGGCTCTCTCTTTTGCAAACTCTCTTACATGTACTAATTTTAATAGTAACTATTTTTTCATTAATGGTCTATCATGTTTATGCTAATACTTAGAGGTCAATCTTTGTACATCATAAACTTTGATTCTCGCCATCTGCACATCTTTTCCACTCCTTCCTTCCTGGTACACTTCCTAAATGACAAGTTCAGAAAAGCGGGGAAAAGAAGCGAACGATCCAAATGTAATAACAGAGAATTCCGAGGGACCAAAATGTAAATCAAGAAGTTTCCAACGCTGATGGAAAACGTGAGCATTAAGCAACAAAAGCGCGTGGCGACTGCTTTACAAAATCAAATCCCGTCATCCTGCTATGAGGATTCCCAATTCAATCCTGACCTCATTATCATGACATCATTCAATGGTCCCCCAATCGAACGGCTGAAATTCGCCATCACCTATCAACACTGTTACACCAGACAAAAGCTACACGCTCGCTCCTCATTGTTCCAGCATTAAAGCTACATAGACTAAAGCATAGCATATATTCCATAGTCTGTACATCCGGAGAGAAACTATTATTAATTATTTTCTCGAGAGCTTCCGTCAAAAATCATTAATAATGGAAGATGAGAAGAAAAGGAAGAGGGCAGCTGATCACGGTTGTGGCGGGGAGAGGAGGAAGAAGAGGAGAAAAGATGTGGAGGATGAAGTGGTTGAGGCGGAAACCGCCGCAGCTCAGCCGTCGGAGGAGGAGGTGGAGGAGTTTTTTACTATCTTACGCAGGATGCACGTGGCAGTTAAGTACTTTGAGAAGAGTGGGAGTAATAGTACCTATATCGATGTGGTTAACGGCGACGGCGGTAAGATGACGGAGTCACCAGCTGAGGAAGGAGTTCAGGGCGTTAAAATTGGCGGTAAAAGAGATGTTAATGGTGTCGGTTTGGATCTCAATGCGGTTCCGGAAGCGGACACTTAACGGTGCTTGTTCGACTTGTTTGGTTGCTAAAATGGGAAAAGGCGGTGCATTTTAGACGATGATGACTAATGAAGGCTACGATAAGCGTGAGGTATCATTATTATTATTATTATTATTATAGTAGTAATTATTTTTTTGTTCTTTTATCTCCGGTTTCTGTGAAATAGAAATCATTAATATTTATTATTAAACTTTGTAATATAATTATAATAATACCCTGGCAGTTGATTTTGATGTTTGAAGGGGACGAAATGGAAGTACAAATGGGAACTTGACATATTACCAAGTTTTGGTTGTACTTTTAATCATCATAATAAATTTGAATTTATAATTATTTGTGTGACAGAGTCTGGGGACATCCATGAACTATGCTAAAAAGGTATTATTGTATCGGATCATGAACTGAAGAGGCTCTTCGTGCGACAATATCTTAAGTGCATGATTTATAGAATACCCAAAGATTTTCTGATTTATTACATTTCATTGTATGGAAAGGGGTGCGTCTATTTTGTGTTTATTGGGTGTTAAAATGAAAACTCGCTTTGATTTGATTAATTCTTCTTGATCCTTCAGTTTTAGTAGATGGAGGGATTGTTTTTGAAGTCGTTTGTCAGATTCAAGTTCTGCTAAATACTCAACTGATTCTAATTTTTGAGAAACCAAAAAATCAGGGGAAAAAAAAAAGTATGCTGTAGATTGTGAATTTGGCTTTCTTTTTTTTTTTTTTTGTAGCTTTAAAAAAGTCAAAAAAAAAAAAAACAACAAACGAAAAGCAAAAGCAGATGAGATCACGGAATAGTTGCTTTTGTAAAATCAGAAGCTAATAGTAGTAGGTCAAAAAAATAAGCCTTAAATTAACTTTCTTTTACTTTTGAAAAAGTTCGGACAGTGCATTATTTGAAATATTATTTAAAATAATTACTGTATATATTTTTTGTGATGTGAAAATATAAAAAGATTGTATTTATGATTTAAAAAAATTTGCTTTTCAAACACACTCGATCTTTTCTTTATTCAATTATGCATTTACTGTTTGGATGCAAGCGTGGTTATTGTATCCAAGTATCGAGAACCAAGAGCTGTCATTTTTTAATGCCAACCTGAGAAGCGAAGCCATATAGTTGCTACTTAATACACCTATGGCTTTGATTGCTGGATGTCGATTTTGTTGGGGAATCAGGGTTCTGTTGCGTCGTACTCTAGTAGGGTATGCTGCTACTGTTGTAGTGCTGGGCATAGGACCCAAGATAGGACCAAAGAGGACTAGTGGAAACTGGAAAAGTTGAGCAAATAGTAAGTCTCTTTGAAAAGTGGAATGTCTCTAGTTAGAGCTAGGAAACTCAACAAATTTTGTCAAAAGAAGGAAGTGATACATGACTGTGCATGGGCAGGATTGCTCTGTGATCACAACTTTGCTTTGAAGCAGCTACTAGGATACTGGTTCTTCCCCCGGTTTCTTCTAGTCTAGTCTAGTGTACTTAATTTGCGAAAGTGCACAAAAAAAAAGAAAAGACTTCTTCCTCTGGGAAGAAAATTCAGCGTATTGAGTTTGAGGCAGCCGCTAAACGAGGCAAGTCAATCCGGAGGAGACTCATAGTTCCATTATAAGGAGTGAAATCAAATTCGATTCGATTCCTGTGCTATGAATTATGGTCTTCCTTCTAACCAGCTACGCTTTGAATTAATGAAAGAAAAATAGAACTGCAGGACAGTCGCCGTAGAGGTTTTGGGTTCAAAACTTTTCTTCTCCTGCCTGTCTGTTTCTGATATCCCACTCCTCTTCTACCGGGGAAAAAATAATAATGATGAAAAGAAAGAAAGAAAGAAAAAAGAACTGCTGATTAACCAGCACCCATTTTATTTTTGACAAAAAAATTTCTTGGACTATTTGCTAATTGAAGAAGCTCGGAAGCTTCCCCCGTGGAGGTCAATTGTGTATTTGTCCGCCCCAGCATCAGGTGCGTGGAGGGGGCCTCCCCAGGATTCGAACGCTCAAGTGGTACCAGGACTTCAACCCCAAGACCCTTATACACAAGGACCAGGGTTCGAATCCTGGGGAGGCCCCCTCCACGCACCTGATGCTGGGGCGGACAAATACACAATTGACCTCCACGGGGAAGCTTCCGAGCTTCTTCAAAAAAGGCCTGCCTGACAGTCCTACCTAATCTAGGGGCTAGTGCAGAGGCCCCGTTCTGGGCCCGGACACGCGGCAGCCCAGGAGGAACCGAGCTGGGCCTTGGCCCCAGACTCCTGGCAGCAGCCCAGGGCCGCACCGACTAGGGCTCCCAGGGGAGGCGAAGGTCCGTCCCGAGGAGGTCGGGAGAAATCCCCCTGAGTGCGGGATGCTATCTATACCGGGCAAGTCCCGCGTCGTGCGGAGGCCGGACTCCTTTGCAGGTATAAATAATAACACACATCCACTGTACAAGGTACGCTCACTATTGACAATTTACCCGGGACAGTTGCTACTTCCCGTGAACCTTACTCACCGGAAAACTAACTTGGCCGTCGGAGCGCCCTCGGGGACAACCCTCGGGCCCCCTTTGTTAGCTCCTTTTCTCTGTTTTGCAGATCTTGGATCAGCTCTCCCATCGACACCCCGAGCTGATCAGGTCAGCTCTCCTCGGGGAAGCTCTGCGCTTCTTCACTAATCATTTTGTACTAATCATTTTGTTCGCTAACCTTCCAATATCGAACCTCTTTCGCCTTTCTTCTCCCACGCCAAGTCTAGAAATTCCATCCTTAAACTATAGGAAAAATAATATCTGTGACAAATGAAATGCAACAGCTGTTGGAAGATGTAGGCGGCTGGAAGCTCTGAGTTTATCCACAAAGTCATCTTTCTATCAAAGACCTGCGGCTGGTGAATCCGATCAAATAATTGGTGTTTGCCAAAGTTTGGGCCCAAGGAACCAAAAAAATCTGCTAAAAGTTGCGAGGAAATGTGAAATTTTTGTTGCACGTTAACCATGGAAGGACGGGTGGAATGCGATAGGCTACTTTGTGTGAGATAATTAGTGTGACCGGACTTTAAATCTTTATGATCCAACTATCAAATCCATAGTTGTTTAAGAAATAGTTGCTTAACAAGCAAGCGAACCAGGTCTGACAGTGAATTTTTCATTGGCTGAACCACTTTTAGGCGTCTAACAAGTTGTTATATGAATTAATATTTGTTGACGTTATTTTTTTTTATTGTAAGTGAGAGGTATTGAATTCGGAATTTTCTGTTTATAATTTCTGTTATTTTATCATTCAATTCAATCATTTCTCAATATTTGCTGAATTTGAAACCTCATAAATACAAATTCTTCTTTTTGTTCCTTTTTGTTATGTGGTTGGGGATTTTTTTTCTTTTTTTTTTCTTTTTTGGGGGGGGGGGGGTCGTTGGGTAAATGATGGCATAAGCTAATGTTGAAACGTATGAGATGCAAATGCAATATTGACTTTGCTAGCATAGCATGCTGACAAATGCACTTGCTTCCCACACCGAAATGTCAACAAGATTACTGACTACACAGCAATCTTCGCTTAAGATCACACCGTCCATGTGATTTGATGTTGGCTCCCCTTGTAATCTTGCAGCTGGACCAAAATCTGATAGGTGGAAAACCCTATGTCAGCCTGCTGGCTGATTGTGCAGTATGGGCTTGTTTAGGAATGCAGATGAGTGGTGGGCCAAAATTTTTTTTTTGGTCAAAAGGGTGGGCCAAAATGATTGAACAAGCTTTCAGACCAGAAATGTTGGACTGATGGTAAAGGCAAAACAACAAGAAAGCGAAGACTTTTTTTTATTTATCAAAACATTAATTAAACTAACATTACTAAAGTACTGAATAGGCATGGTCACGGTTTCAGAACCGCCGGTTCTGGTTTTTCAAAGAGGTAGAACCAGAACCACACTATACTCCCTCCGTTCCTTATTAGATGGCCTGAATAACTAATTCTCTTAGATTAAGAAAGTTGGTTATTTTCTAAAAGTCAACAAAAGTTTAACTTTACTTCTCAAAATTACCCTTTATCTCTCTTCATCTCTTCAACTACTTTTATTGTTAATGCTACAAATACTGCATTTAATTATTTAGAGTTCCAATTCAAGAAAGTTGAAAGGGTAAGCAAGGGTAAATTTGGAAAAAAGTTCATAAATGCTTTCTTGATATCATAAAATGACAGATAAAAAGAAACAATGGATTAGGACATCTAATAAGGAACGGAGGGAGTATAAGATGGTTTTGGTTCTGGTTCTTCAAAGAGGTAGAATCAGAATCGCATAGTTCTGATTTCGGTTCCTTATGGTTCTGGTTCTAGTACCAAATAGTTGCATACAATTTTATTTAATTCTTTATCCTTACCAATTTTAATACGAATATAACAATATATTTAAATTTTCAAATAGAATGTACAAAAATAAATACAAAATAAAGATCATATTTTAATTTTATTATTATTCTACAAAGTAAGAAGTAATAAATAGACAATACAAATTTTATGAAAAGTACATTATATTGTCAAATTAAAAAATACATTACACTATGAAATGGTTGTCATGTGTTGACTTTCTTGACTTCGACAATCATCAATGTTAAAGATTTCATTTGAAGAAATATTGCAAAAAATATTTTTTGCTTGCTTGATTTTGAAGATGAGCTACTACCATCAAAACTTGCCATTTTTTTATAGCAAATAAGCAAAAAAAAAATATTTGTAAGTAATAATTTAATACTTACAAATTATAATGATAGATATTAGACGAATAGAAATAATTAAATAATTAGTAAAATATATAGAAAGTCCATAAAATTTAAATTTTTTTAAAACCTATTAAACACAACTAATTTTTTTTGAATTATCTCACTACTTATATTAATTATTTTTAACGGTTCTGGAACCGGCGGTTCTGGTTCTGGTTCTATTTTTAAGAGAACCAGAACCGGAACCTTTATCCAAGATTCTGCCACGGTTCTAGTTCCGGTTCTGGTCCGGTTCCTGGTTCCAAATGGAACCATGGTCATGTCTAGTACTGAAGGATTTTTTTTTTTTAAATTCTAATAGGGGAGAGAGGGGATTTAAGAAGGGGAAGGAGTAAGGGGATTTGAATTAAAAAATTTTAATTTCTAAGGTCTCAACTGAAGAATAAGGTTAAATTTCTATGTGATGCCTTAACTAAAGTTTAGAATGTTTCTTATTTCTTTTTTGATTTCTTCTAAAGAGGCATCCATCCCATGGATCTCAACTGATCATACTCTCATAATTTTGAGGGATACCCACTTTTGTGAGACTGAAAATTGTGTGGGAAGTTGTTGAAGTGTTTTCTCTCTTTTGATAGTTAGGCCTTATTGATAATCCAGTTCAACACTTAAATTTAATGGATTCAGATCTTAACATATTCAGACTATTTGATAACTAAAAATTAAATATCTGAATTAATTAAGTGGTACTGAATTTTCTAGGCAAAATTTGCTTATAAAATTAAATAATAAGCTATTCACTTATCATCGAATATTATATGCACTCAAATGTATTAGATTTAATACTTAACAATTCAGTGATTTAATGGATTCAGATTTCAAATTTCAGACTTCAGTTTTTCAGAATTTAGTTTTACCAAGCGCACCCTTAATCTATGGGAGAAAGGTTCGTCAGGATTCGAAAAAATATATATTTACGTAAAAATTTTGATGCATATCAGGACCATGCACGTAGATGTATTAACATACAATTCATATCAAATTTGGTATTCTTTGGCTCTCAGTTTCAGACTATGGGATGCTGAAAATTGAAAACAATTTATGGTCTTCACCAGCTGAATGTGAGAGAAGTGGGCAAACAAGACGAGATTGGAAAGATATTTAAAGCATTACGTCAAAACCATGTTCTCATTGATTTCCAACTCCTTCAACTGGCTAGGCTTGATTTGCATTGGGGATGCCACAACGAGCAAGTGGACACAACTGGCGGGTGCAGGGTCACCATCCCAATTATTTGGTACTCAATAATTTAGAGGTCCATAATATATATTTTTCTTCGAGATAATGCTAATTTCACCTAAAAAATGAATACAAAAACTTATCCTAACCTAGACCGCAAATGTTGAGTTTGAAGATTTTGAAAATGAACCGCCTTAAGATGAGTTGATTATGTAATTGGATAATTTGGATTTCAAATTTGACAATCCATTTAATAATGTCCAGAAGAAACTAGTTTGAAGTGAGCATAATGTCCATTATTCCAATCCAATTACTCCCTCCGTCCCACTTTGATAGTCCTGTTTTCCTTTTTTGTCTGTCCCAAATTGCAGTCCACTTTCCAATTGAAGAATGTAGTTGTATTTTCATTTTCCTAAAATACCCTTATTCAATACAAGTTGTTGTTGCTATAACCTAACCCATTTAATGAGAGTTAATTCTTTTTTTACCATCAATTCAAGTTTCCCATAAAGTTGTACTCTATTTAATGTGAGGGTATTTTAGGAAAATAGCAATCTAAATTTACTTTTCCAACAAAATTAACTACTTTTTCTTAAACTGTGTGAAAAAAGAAACAGAACTATCAAAGTGGGACGGAGGGAGTATATCTTATCATATTATTTAGTGATTTGAACTCCTGAAATAATCTAAAAGTTGATAACTCTTATCCTATATCCAACCATCGCATCATCGTTACCATATCCGGAAGGGACTAAAGGACGGTAGAACTCTCCCAATAATATAAGCATCTGCAACTCAAACACAGCAAAGTCAAACCAAACAAAAACTTAAGATAAAAAATGTAATTACATATATAAACAAGTACTAGCTGGTTGCTGCTTTTGACCACATTTGATGGATTATTAATCAAACTATTTGCAAATCCACTCAACTAAAAGATAATCAAATTCACGTAACCCATAAAGATAATCAAACTAATGTTGAATCGACTTCTACGACCTCATACATGAGCATGGCCTGATAAATTAGTAAAGTCACCAGCAAATTACTTGCTAAGTCATTAGTTGAGCTTGATAAGCTATCTTCTCAAAGATGTAGACTCAATTGGGGTTCAATGTTGTGGATTTGCACATGTTACTAACTTGAAAGTTTAGCCATCAATTTATTGTGGATAAAGGACTCCAAAGCCATTTTGATATTTTTTTCAAGAAAAGTATGACACAAAAATTTCAAGAAAAAGACTTCGTCTAAGATACCGGACCAAAAGGTAAAATATCAACTATAAAAATCTGGTCCCATCTGTTTATATACATACAAAACTAGTACACCCTTCTACAAGTTGTTAAAACAAGATTAAGAAAAACCAATTGTTTCAGTTAAGCAACTCAGAGATCTCCCCACTTGTGTTCAGAAGTGATTTCTGACATATGGGAAAGATCTTTTCTTCACCAACAATTTTTTCTTTTTTTTTTTTTTTTGGTGGTTATTGTACTTATATAGAATTAAGTCAAATAAGCTATGTACTAATTGAAGGTTATTTCCATTTGTTGGTTAGACAAATTGAGTTGTGAAGTGAATCAAGGAATAAGTTTCCGCGTATTCAAATAAGGCGTTTGGTTAGGTTTTCTTCAATTAATCAGGTTCAAAATCCGTGCCTACTTTTGAGTTCAAATTATGAACAGCGACTTCATATTCAAAGTAATTAAATGGTAAAAACATGTCGTCCAAGTGGCTATGTACAACCAAACCAACCACCAAGAGAGCCTTAAACTCTCCTTGGATACAGGTCAAGAGATTAAATCCGTTAGTCTGAATTCTAATCCAGAATTTTCTAGAAAAATTTCGCCAACCGATACATCGACATCCGTTTGGACGATGGTTGCTCAATCCCTCAGGTTCCCCTCCCTTGACCTCTTTGGGCTCCCCTGGATGTAGAGTAAGAGTAGGTGTAGATTAGAATCTATCATGTCCGGCAAAAAAAAATATGTAAAAAAAAAAGCTATTAGTACATTCTAGTATAACTTGTGGATGTTTGCCTCCTTTGCTTGCCCAGCTTGCTAACCTTTTCATGTTAAGCATCTGTACATATCTTGAGCATTAGTAAAAACATTTATTCTTGTATTCATCAGAATAAATTGGGGAACGATACCATTTTCTGAAAAAAAAAGCTACATATGCTCTATATCAGCACAAAATGCTTGCGGACTTTCTGGTTATCATCTT